TTGGAAGGTTTACAATTATACCCTTGCTAATAAATTGTGCTATTTTCCCCAACAGTTTTAAGTGCTAATCTTCAGAAGGCATTTTAAAATTAGCTAAAATTCTGTCAAGAGATTTACAAAAATTGTTAGCATGAAGATAATTATGTCACAGTCCTTGGACTCCATCTCTGATTGTGTGCATAAATCAGAAAATGTCAGCTGTGTTTTCCCTTAATAATTATCCTTGCAGCAATATATTACAGTTTGGATTACTATTATAGTGTAGCTTTAGGTTTATAAACCACAAGTTCGTTATTTCTGAAGTTTTCTGCTGATGAAATAATTCACATTACTGTAATAAGTAATATTTGTGTTAACACTTCTAGATCTACCAATAAGTGAAAATCAGCGTTCTACACTTTTTTACACAGTCCCCTAAAGTAATCAGCTTTTTTGTTACTATTTTGTTAAAGGAGGTCCCTTCTATAGTATGGCCAGCATTTTCAAAAGAGCTAGCTGATGTGGTCACCCTTGTAGCATGTGTAGAATTTGAAGTTTTAAGGACTTTTTGGACCAATTTTTGGAAATCTTCTTGCTGATTTTTTCCCAGATGTAGGTAGATTTTGTAGGTCCTCAACAGTTTTGGTAATCTCTTGTTAGAACCTACCTCCTTAAACATAATGAGTTGAAATATCAGAGTGAGGTAGTAAATCCTTCAGAATTTGGACCAGATTATCTCATTTTAAGGGCTCAGAAATTTAGGTACAAATACGCTAAATAAATTAGATTTGTCTGCATAAACAGTAGGAAATTGACACAACATACTCTAGGAACCTTTCTCATGAGTTATAAAGAAGAAAGTGGGAAAAATGAATTTGTTTTAGCATTAGTGCTAATAGTAAATTAGAACTGAATAGGTAAGAGCTGTTCTGTCTTTCAATTGCTGTACATTCCTTATGTTTAATACTCAGGAAATTTGACATTAGAAGTGTGAGATTTACTCAAGCTTTCTAAGAAAATTTTCTAAAACCTATGCAGAAGCAATGAATTCTGAGAATTCAACACTCATAGTACTAACCTTAAAAACCTCTTTCATAGAAGAGAGATGGTATTTCAAGTAGGGCTTTTGATTTGGCGATGTATCAGCAAGGATAAGAGATCTACTCAACCTCAGTGATGCAGGCTGCCTTAGAATAGGTCTTAGACTGTTGTGAGTACAAAAGATTTTTATTTCTCTACTGTCTCAAAATGTGTGTAGAGAAATTATCTGTAATTTTGAAAGTCTTCTGTGAAGTACTTCAGGATAGATTTAAAGTAGCAGGATATGGCTTATTGTGATTCCACTCTTGTTTTGGTACTTGGAAGATTTATGGTTGATTTCAATGGGAGTGGGGTCATATTTAGCCCTACTGTATCACAGAACGGGCAAGTTTGAGTTATGGTCTTCCAAGACTGACTCTTACTTCTGAGCAGAGCAGAGGCAGAAGTGCTTTTGTCATTTAGGGACATCCTCAGTGGTGACACCAGGCAGCAGACTGCTGTGCTAGTCTGTTGGTTTCTGAGATACTTCTGCTAGGTTCTTCATTTGACTCAAATGAAGAATTCCTTTTCCAATAAGTCAACAAAGAGGGCTTTTTCATCCAAGACAAAAACATAGGTAAGAAAACTAAGCTGATCAATGTTAAGAGATGGGTTTTAAAGACTGTGACTTCACTTTTGCCAGAATATCCCACGTTTTTATTTAAAACCTTGAGGGTTTCTTTATTTGTGTTGCTTGAGCTAGATGGTTTCTTCAACCAATGTCAGAGTACTTAGGACTTGTCACTTGAAATATCTGAAAATACAGAATTGTGAACACATAGTCTTTGCTTCTAAAGCTTGCAGTTTATTTTATTAACAGAAACAAATTGTAGCAGGGAAAAGTCATATTTTTGTGGTTATGAGAAGAAAAGCTTTTCAACTTGTTCATTAATCTTCCTTCTTCCCCATCTCCATACACTCATTATTCATCTTTCTCATTTCTGGTTATACATTTTACCAGTCTGCTGTGTGTCATGCCACAGATAGTTGTGAATATCCAGTCCACATCTCCATTTTTAACTAGCTGTCATGAAGCTTGAGATCTCATATGATAAATAAGCCATTTATTTATAGATAAAATAGAAATACTTCCTGCTCTTGCTTTTTCACTAAAAGAATTCCAAGTATTTATCCCGGAATCCCATAAGAAGTAGTATTTAGACTTATGTGGCTTTTTTCTATGTAATGGCATTTTGACTTATGATGACCATGTCCCTAATTGCAACTCTGTACTTATTCTGCCTCCTAAACTTCTCAAGGGTGATATTTAATTTAGTATCGTGCAGAACTACAGATCTGCCAACGGCGATAACATATAGTCTGCTATATAATTATTGAATCAGAGAGTTAAAAATTCTAGACTCTATCTATTCCCACAAAAAATCATTTGGCAGTGAGCCAACAAAAGCAATTTTTTTCATTGCTTGCATTTTGATTTTTTTACTTTAGCTGTTGCTCAAAATGAAACACCTTGGACTTGAATTGCTCATTAGACTTAAATGTATTCTGATGTATTATGGGCCAAAATACACTGTCCTATGCAATGTACTTATACATATGAATTGTTTGGTAGCATGGATAATAGAATGAACTCAGTTTTTGCGAGTGATTTAATACTTCAGAATGTAAAACTCACCCTGGTCATGGTCTACTGAAGTTTCCTCATTTTCCAGACATATTCTTCAGAGTATTCTCATGCTTACAGTTTCATTTCAAGCCTTTCTCAGAAACTGATACCCTTTCAGATGATCTACAGTACTGCATGTGAGCTGGCACTCAGACACTTGAAATGCCCTCTATGCACCTGTAGCTATGCTTATATTTGGTATTTCAGACACCCTTTCCTCCTTCCTCTGAGATGATCAAGCATGCTTGCATGAGTGGAAAAGCAGTGGGTATGATCAGCAGTTGCTTACTCTCCTAGTCAGGACAAATGCAGTAACTTATGGCATGGTCCTATGAGATCATTCTCCTTCATGAGTTTGCTTCTGGCTCCTTCTCAGTCTGCTTCTGAGCTTTTTTAGCTCATTTTCTTCTAATCACTCTATGGTTTGCTCTCCAACTATTGTACCTTGCATGAGAGCTATTTGGCTGAAAGTAGCTGAGAAAAATACTCTCCAGAATCAATTCTCAGAAATGGTAGAAGTAAGTTCACAGTAATGAATTGTGTGCTCCTCAGATTTTTTGAATCTGTAGTGAGGTGCTAGTGAACAATGGATCTTGGAGCAGTATTCCAAATTACATTTATTCTGGCTTCTATGTTCCTGGAAGATGGGAGGTTTAATTTTGCTTGCACAGATACTTGCATCTTAGTATTGATTAAGTGAGAATCCTTCATTAATTAGTATTGTTGATTTGGATTTCTTTTATGTATTTTAAATGACTAGCCTGCCTGTATGTGCTTGGAGCTGAAGGTCAGTGTATGCTGATCTGATTAATGGAATACTTCATTGTACAGCTTCCATATTTCTTTTCCAATCCCTTTGACTCTTCAAGTATGATTTTGCTATGCAAAGGACAACTGATTGTAACATAAATTAACAAATCACTTTAACTGTAGGACAAGACTTACTGTGACATGCGTAGTTTTTACGAAGGAGAAAAAAGATGTCAAAATATGTCAAATAGGTGTAGCTCTTATTTTTTCTGCTCAGAAATGTATTGTTGAAGCTTTAAAACTTTGTATTAAAAGATCTGTAATCTTATCTAAAAATAATGATAGTTTAAATGTTAATTGGGCAAGATAAAATATGTTGCTAGGTCATTTATAAGAATCTAATAATTTCCTTTTCAGTAATGCTTTTGTAGCCTCAGATTGAATGTAATTATAAAAATAAGGAATCAATGCAAATAAGAAAAAAACAATAGATAACTCCTATTGTATTTATTATAACTACTTTTAAGATGTGGTCCTAAAGATGAAGTCACTTATTAGATACTATGAAAGCAATATGACCAAATAATAATGCCCATAATTTCTTTAAAATTATGGCTACATATAGAGCCTGACAATCCTGCCTTTGAAGTTTGTTAGCAAAAGGAGCTGTTCTGCTTGCAACTTGTTTCTTTTAAACCCATATGGCAAAATTATGCCTCCCTGAGGTAACTTTTGGTATTGGAGAAAGTTGTTGTGTAGAACAGGGGTAACCTAAAAGCCTCCTGTATTGATGAAGCCTCAAGAGAATATAAAAATCCTATGGAAGATGCAGATGATTAGAGAATTCTTGTTCACTGGCATTTCAGACTCACTTTGTACAGACACAAATTACTGCACTTCCCAGCATCTTCTGTATCAATTTTACTGTCTTTGTGGCAGCAGAAGAAAAGCATCAGTGCTCTGAAGTAATGGAACCAGTCACACATTTAGTAATAATTTACAGAATATATCAAAGTTTTACTTCATTTACTTTTATAAATATTGGTTAGCTCTAATCTGGAAGAAACATTGTGGTTGAGGTGTCTGTAAACAATTAAGCATTTCAATTTCTGTTATGTTTTAAAAATTAAATAGGAATTAAATATGACTGGTTTTTTCCAGCAACCCTGCCTGTTTTATTGGGATGTAATTTATAAATTTTATTATAATAATAACAAAAAATGCTCATTTAGGTTTCAGTTCTCCTGTTTGTGTGCTATAGCAGCATTGTAGTCTCACACAGAGATAAATGAAAAAAAAATAAAGAAGAAAAAGTAAAAATTCTATAAATTTCATTATGGAAAATTTATAAGATGATTTCCATGACAACCATATAATAAGATTCATGTTTACTTTAGTTCTGAGTTCTCAATGTCTTTTTAATGACTCCCATGTAATTAAAACAGAATGCATAATTTGAGGTAACATAGTATAAATCAATTTTGTTTGCATGATGCTGAATACTCTTAATACATGTACAATGAACTGTTTAAGAACCTTACATGGATATGTCCATTTGTTGCAGAACTGTGAGAAACTGGAAAATAATTTTGATGACATCAAGCACACGACTCTTAGTGAGCGAGGAGCACTTCGAGAAGCAATGAGGTAAGTCTGGGTCACCATAGCAACAGTCACAGATGTGGTAAAGAAAGAGTCATTCTTCATTATTGGGGGAACAAATGAGTTCATTGCCACCATTCAGCTCTATTCTCTAAGGTATTAATTTGTCAGTGGAGAGGCTTCCCTTGAGGCTGTACTTTGGTTTTGAAGCTGCATAAATGTTAAGCCTGACTGCACAGTAAAAAATGTAAATGTTTAATTTGTTATTTAAAATGCTTAAGGGGTGCCTTGCTTTATATTTATACTAAACTGTGAGTGAATGAAAATATTGTTCATCTAAATTCTGTAAGTGTTAAAGCAATTGTACAATGGTGTCTGAACAAACCTGTATTTGCTTTAAATTGAATTTGATTTTTATGTATGTTGTTCCTGTGTATTCTGATTTTATCACCAAAATTACAGGATTTTGGTTTTGGTAATGGAATGTAAGAATCTGTCAGGTCCTTTATGTGTTGTAGAGATGTGTTGTAGATATTTTGTTTAATATCATATTTTTGCGCTTAATACTTATTAGAGAAGTTTAAAATTAGTCAGAAGATGAATTTTCTGCCATCCTTACTTGCACTGGAGAGTATTTGGGTACAGGACTCCAAAGTCCTGCCAGATACAGTGCCTGGAAAAGGGAGTGATTACTGTGCAGAAAGGTGGTGGAATTGAAGACAGGTTTTCCAAAGTAACTCGCTGAATAATCAGGAAGATGTTATTTATAGTGTTATGTGTGAATCAGAAAATTATATAAGCTTCACTTTTAAAGGTTTTGAAATTGGATAGTAAAATGTAATGATGCAAACATAGTGCTTCATCTCATTTGCCTCATCTCAGAGTAACTTCTTACACTTGAACCAGTGCAGTAAAAAGTAAAAACATCAACAATCCCCCTAAGAATCCACTTGATGAAATAAATACACATATTTGCTTTGACTGTGTCCGTTATCCATTTAATTTATGGATGTGTGTGAATGACTTGATTTGCATGAATTACGTTCACGATGCTCGTCTCATGTGCACTGACTGTTTGAAAGGTATTCTTACCTACAAGTATTCTGAACATTTCAACTACCAGTGCTGCAAATAACTGTAAAAATAATGGCATTCACCTTTCTAATAGTGATTTTTGCTTTATGCTTGTGTTACTTCATATGTTTAGGGTTTCTCCAATGTGATTGGTCATCTGTATATGTAAGTCTTGCATCTAGTGTCAAAAAATGAAAAGTGATTTAAAGTAAAGATTTGGGGAATTTTTGGCAAATGAAGCTGCCTTTAATATTTCCAACAAATTGGATTTCAGGTTGTTGCTGTCCTGTAACAGTGTTCAGGTTTGTGACGTTTTGCAATGCATGATTCAGCAGGGATAATATTTAAAAAACTTGGGAGCTGACAGCTCTTCCATGATCAACATTGAATAGCAATGGGAGCTTTGGCATTTCAAAGGTCATATTTCTGCTACAAAGCCTGTTTAGAAGATTCTTGTGATTCTTTGCTGTACAAAAGCACTTTACTATCTCATAAATTTGTATCCTGGCTATTTCTGCGAGTGTACAAGCCATTCTGAGAAATAGTTATTGATTGTGAAGAGTGACCAGATATTGTGCAGTGCTGGAATTCTCTTAATTGCAGTCAGTATTGTATGGTTGGTTGTTTCTTTAGTTGCTTTTTTATTTTGAGATAAAGAAAATACCTGACTTACTAAATTTATACTATTGTATGTTTTTATAACATACTTGAGTGCCACATGAAAGATAGAAAATGTTAATTTAGCTGCATGTAGGTGTACATATTTTTCTAAAGGTGTGTGAAAGATACTTGTTGTTTTAGCTTGTACAGTTCTTTCTGCTGCATAGTCACCTCATTTACTGAGTGGCTGCATTTTTCTTTTTGGATCCCAAGATTATCTGTATGTGTGTAATTCAAATGGTACATTTTTCTAGATTCAAGTTCACTTTTCCATTCCATGACAAGAGTGGACATTGGACCAGGCATGGGAGGACATAGATTTGCTGACCTCAGTATTATGAGGTACCTGCCTCCTTTGGGTAAGGGAAGCTTCTGGAGAGGGTTGCACATTGCACAAAAGCACTAAAATCATGTGGGCATGAAAGCAACAGCAACAAAAAAATCCTAGTGGATAGCTAAGTGGATATATGTGCATCTCAGATGAGCCTTAAGTCGAGTGGGCAGTCTGCCCAAATCCACTCTGATTTCCCAGAGTGGTGCTACTGGTCTGCCAGATGAGAAAGACAATGAACACTTTTTCCCAATGCTCCTGTTTGGAACGAGACCTTCCATTTCAACTTCATCTTTGAGAAAAATGGCCAATTTAATATGAGTTTCAGTACACTTTTAGTCTATGAGTATCACTGTGCTCTGCATAAACAAATACTAATATCCAAGAAGGATCTTGTTCTGTTTCCAGCTCTTCAGTATTCAAATTGAGGACTACATGAAAATTATCTTTCTTGTTTATGTATATAGATGTATGCAAAATAAACTTTCTGAAGGGCTTTGAATTTATCACAAAGCCTACAAACTTTTTCTGCTTCTACTTTACACTTGTTTTAGATTTTGAATGAGATAATGAGCTGATAGTAGGTTGCCATTATTCAGTATATAAAGAGTGGTATTCTAAGAATTTGATTTACTTGTGATTGCACATAAAATCCATAAAACATTCAATTCATTTAATGTTTTGCTTATTTTGTTAATGTACTCCAAATGTTTTATTTATTACTATATTTTAATGCAGCTGCAAAGCTGAAATAAACAATAAAAATCCATTAGTTTTTTGAATTGGAGCTTATAAATGGACAGACTATTGCTTGCTTACCTTGAATATGTATATGATAAATTAATTGGGTATTTTATGTAGTAACTTGTCAGAAAAATATAGCTATATACCTATCATGTCAGGTTGCATAAGTAAGAGCATTTTGTTATTTTGTTAAACAAAGCTCGATTTGTTTTTAACATATAATTAGTGGGAAAAATCTGGATCCAAATCATCAGTAAAGATTCATCTAGAATTTTAAAGGAGCTTTTAGACTGTTTTTTCTGCTACAAGGAGATAAGTATTTGAGGAGCAGGAAGTGGTGTAGCTGGGTGCTGACACTGGGAGTCTTTTCATAGGTGGTGAAACCAGAATGTGGACTGCTACAGTAGGCATTTCTAGGGAAACTAGGGTAGAGTAGCCTTGAGGAGTCTTTAAATTAGGCGAACAATAATGATAACCCTGCTCTCTCAAATTATAAGGTAACTTTAGGGAGAAGTGTGGCAGGAATCCAAACTCAGTTATTAATATCAAATTAGATATTAATAAATTACTAAGATAAGGTTTAGTGAGTTACTGGGTTTAAAAAGGACTAATTTCAAAAAGCAGCAGACATCAGTGGGCTGGATCATTTTTCTTGCTGAATTTGTTCATTCTGTGTACAGGCATTCATTGTTGTCATCAAGAGAGAGAATCAGAATTGATGAAATTGGGAGGTTGAAGATGATCTAAACATGCGGTCTCTGCATTTTTTTGATTGCATATCAGCAAAATATTTTTGAGCATGCATCCCCCATATTTGTGTGTTTGTACATGTATTGCCACTATACTAATATTTTGTATCTTATAGAACACACCTCAGAATGGAAATTAATAAAAAAGACTGATAAAGATGACATAAAGATTACTTAATTTAAAAAAATTATTAATTGCACAGAAAATATTTTCTTCCCACATTGACATGGTTTGTCTTGTGCATGCTCTGCTTTGGAGATTATTGATCTGGACTATCTTTCCAGCTCAGAGCAGGGTCAAGTAGAGCAGGTTGCTTAGGGCTGTGTCCAACAAAGTTCGTTCTGCATCTTCCAGGATGGATGCTTCACAGACTGTCTAGTCAAATATCCCCACATTAAACAACAGCAAAACTGAAACAAAAAAAGCTTTAACAGAATTCCACTTCAGCTTGTGCCTGTTGTTTCTTGCCCTTTTGCTGGGGACTGTTCAGAACAATCTGTCTCTGTTGTCTCTGTTTTCTCCCATCAGGTATTTATACATTTGGTAAGATTCCCCCCTGAGCCTTCTCTGCTCAGGACTGCATGTCCCCTGGTCTGTCAGCCTCTCCTCATATGACAGACACTCCAGCCCCTCAATCACCTCAGTGCCCCTTTGCTGGGCTCCCTCCTGTGCATCCCCCTTTGCCTTGGCCTGGGGGACCCAGCACAGGACACACCACTCCAGATGTGTCTTGCCAGTACTGGGCAGCAGAGAAGACTCTCCACTCTCAACCTACAGGACTGCTGGCCTTTGCTGCAAGGACTGTCTCATGGTTTGTCTTGTCCTTCAGGACGCCCAGGGCCTTTCCTGCAAAGCTGATTTCCAGCTGGTTGTTTGCAGCCTGAACTGGTGCCTGGGGATGTTCCTCCCCAGGGGCAGGATTTCATGGTGGGTTGGTTGATTTGTTTGTTTTTTGGTTTTTGCTTGTATGTTTTTTAATGTGGTTTCTGCAGGCTTGTTCCTCCAGCCTGTCAACAGCAGCCCAACATTTTGGAGTGTTACCACTCAGTAGGTGTTAGATTGTTTTTGAATGCTGTATATATGTTACTATGTGTTCTAGACCCATGTCTCATGTACATTCCATGATCCTGGTGTCAGACAAATGAAGCCATAGCATTTCAAAGCAAACTTTTTCCGAATGTAGTGTTGCAGTTGCTTACTTACCAGCTGAGTTGGGGAGCCACCATGGTGGGTTAAGGCAGTGAGCAATCAGCAAGGCTGGAGAGGTGTTAATACGTAAATGGGTCCTACTCGTAGGTGGATATGGAGATGGTCTGTCTTGTGAACACTGAGTATGTGTGAAAGCTTTGCAAGTCAAAATTAAAGCTGAGTATTTTTGTGTAGTCTTCTCGTTATTAAAGGAAAATTGAAACATATTTATTTGTACTTTGAAATGGGAAAGTTTGCTTATCTGTTTAAATCAGTATAAAAGATACCAAATTAGTTT